CACCCCGCCCCCCCCCCCCCCCCCCCCAGCTGTGGTGGAACTACAAGTCCCATGAGGCTTTGCAAGATTCTCACAGCCACAGACATGACTCCGGGAGAGAGATGCATCATGGGACTTGTAGTTTCACCACAGCTGGAGGGCTGGAGTTTGGCCATCCCTGGCCTAGCCTGTGTGCATATGCGATAGGGACCTTAGACTGTAAGCTCCTCAGGGGCGGGGACTGAGGTGAATTTGCAGTATGTAAAGCAGTGCATAAATTGTCAGCGCTCCATAAATTCCCCGTTGATCTCTTTGTCATTGTACACGTCCATGGAATACTGTTGCGTGCTGCGGAAACTTCAGCAAATCGTTTACTAAATTCAAACCCGACAAGCACCGTGAGCCCCGACAGAAGCCGCCAGGAAAAGACCGTACCGGCTGCCGCTCCGGCCTTCGCGTATCCTACCGCCAGCGGCCCATTCACGGTGGACCCGTAGTCACCCTTGAAGTAGCGGTTCAGTAGTATTTTGCGCAGCGTGACGCCCTGTGTGACGGAAACAAGAATGCCATGTCAACAGACACAAAATATGTCAATTTACACAACTAATGAAGTTGATCAACAAATAAAAACAAAAACCTCTGAATACAAAAATGAAACACAAATATTAAAATACATAAAAAAATTCAGACATTTTGAAATCAAAGAAATGAGAAAAAAAGAAGTAAACAAAAACAAAGGAAGAACAAGCAAGTAAATATGAATGAGTACATACAAGAACAAACACGGAGGCACACGTGAAGAAGCAAGACAGAAATCTCTTTTCAAAGACACCCTGACAGTCCTGAGAAAACGTTATTCAAGTGGACCTGTCACCAGACTTTTTTATGCTAAGCAAATATATGTTAATTAATGTGTCAGTGTAACACTTCCAGGTATTTATTACCTCTCACAGAGATCACAGGACTCCCTGACAATGTCTTCATCTGCTTTTCTCTCCAGAAGGAAAGAATCATCTTTGTTCAGGCATCATCCAGGGTCACCATCTATTTCCTGGATTGAGATGTCACCATGAGATGACACAATCATTAAATCCTAATGCCTGTGCAGCTCTGTATTCACAAATGTCAGACACAGATCAGCCCCTGCTGCAGTCTCTCACCTTGTGACTTGCTACAAAGTTACAATGTTGCAGTCTGATCAGTGGGGGAGAGGAGACTGAGGAAACGCTTCCTCCTGGCTGCAGCAGACTGATCACTAGGGGGAGGAGACTGAGGAACCGCTTCCTCCTGCCTGCAGCAGACTGAGCAGTGGGGGAGAGGAGACTGAGGAAACGCTTCCTCCTGGCTGCAGCAGACTGATCACTAGGGGGAGGAGACTGAGGAACCGCTTCCTCCTGCCTGCAGCAGACTGAGCAGTGGGGGAGAGGAGACTGAGGAAACGCTTCCTCCTGGCTGCAGCAGACTGATCAGTGGGGGAGAGGAGAATGAGGAAAGTCTTCCTCCTGTCTGCAGCAGACTAATCACTGGGGAGAGGAGACTGAGGAAATGTTTCCTCCTGACTGCAGCAGACTGATCACTGGGGAGAGAAGACTGAGGAAATGCTTCCTCCTGCCTGCAGCAGACTGATCACTGGGGAGAGGAGACTGAGGAAATGCTTACTCCTGCCTGCAGCAGACTGATCACTGGGGAGAGGAGACTGAGGAAATGCTTCCTCCTGCCTGCAGCAGACTGATCACTGGGGAGAGGAGACTGAGGAAACGCTTCCTCCTGCCTGCAGCAGACTGATCAGTGGGGGAGAGGAGAATGAGGAAAGTCTTCCTCCTTTCTGCAGCAGACTAATCACTGGGGGAGAGGAGACTGAGGAAATGTTTCCTCCTGACTGCAGCAGACTGATCACTTGGGAGAGAAGACTGAGGAAATGCTTCCTCCTGCCTGCAGCAGACTGATCACTGGGGAGAGGAGACTGAGGAAACGCTTCCTCCTGCCTGCAGCAGACTGATCACTGGGGAGAGGAGACTGAGGAAACGCTTCCTCCTGCCTGCAGCAGACTGATCACTGGGGAGAGGAGACTGAGGAAACGCTTCCTCCTGCCTGCAGCAGACTGATCACTGGGGAGAGGAGACTGAGGAAATGCTTCCTCCTGCCTGCAGCAGAGTGATGACATTATCTTAGACTAGGCAGGAGCTCAAGGATGGCTTTTTATTGATAAAAGGTGAAGCTTTTCTAAAAACAAAATGATCCTTTTTCTGTATATTTTGACATTTCCAAAATGAATTCACACAGATACTGAAAAGTCTGCTATAAAACCTCCCACGGAAAGGTGTAAGGTGTTGGAAGTGCCGGACATTGCACACTGCATCTGGACACGTCAGATAATCTTTCAAGATGGCTGCACATAGACGTGTGATACATTGCTACAGTAATCTAGATGCTGATGGACTGGTGGCTGAGCAAGAACTTGGAATCATATCCCTCCATAGAAGTGACACGGAGCTGTACACATGAAGATGATACATTTCAAATCAGACCTGTAAACCTTGAAGAATAACTAGAATAGGTTATGCTCAATTGTATTTCTTTTTATATGTTTGCTTTCATCATTTGTATGTCTCCAAATAAACAATTCCGAGTCTCTGCTCCCTCTCGGTGTCTGTGAAACTTGATACAGTGTAAGTTGGATTGGAGTGGGGGTCCCTCCTCTGGCTCATTCAGCTGTGTGTGTGTTGTGAATAGGAAACTTTAAAAGGAGAACTATGGGGTCAGTGTTTTTCCCCATAGTTCTCCTTAGGGTAACGGGAGGACACAAACTAGCGTTCTCCTGTCACCCTAAGCTCAGTATACCGCGAGCTACTGCTCGCGGTATACTGAGACGCCGCAGCTGAAGCGGATCCCGACAATTGTGCCGGGATCCGCCCAGCTGCGTGACTGACAGCTGGCTCTGCCTATCTAGAGGCAAAGCCAGCTGTACCCGCCCCCTTTCCCGTCCGTTCCGCCAGTCAGCGCTGGCAGATCGGAGCGGGGAGAGGGGAATCCAGCCCCTCCCCCTGTCACGGCAGAGAGCTGTGACAGGATCGAGAGGTGAGCAAACCCGGTATGTGTTCTCTCACCTCCCGATCTACTGAGCCGACCTGTGACTGTCTCATTGTCACAGGTCGGCTAGAACTATGAGGTGAGGGAAAAGCACTCACCTCATAGTTCTCCTATAAGGAGAAGTATTGGGAGAGTAAAATATACTTTTCCCTCTAATAGGCGGTGTGGGACACTGCAGATGGAACACGTCAGCTCTATACTGAGAGCTGAATGATCACAAACCGCTGATCACTCAGCTCCTCCCTGCAGAGAGAGCAGTGACCGTCAGTCACCGCTCCCCACAGCACTTCCCCCCTCTCCTCTCTGTTCCCCCAGCACTCATTAGAGGGCCAGACAGGGGAAGGGGCGGGCACGGCTGGTTCCGCTTTTAGAGAGGCAGTGCCAGCTGTCAATCAAGCAGCTGTATAGATCCCGGCGATAACGTCAGAACTGCAGTGCAGCCCTGCAGTAGCCTGCTATATACTGACTTTGGCTCACAGGAGTACATTAGTAAATATGCTCCTGTGACCCAAAAGAGTAATACTGCCAAAAAAAAGGTTTACTTCTCTTTTAATTAAAGCCTGTTCACAACATAGTAATAAAATGACTCAGTAATGGTGGGGGACAGTGACTCGATAGCACCACCTGCTGGATGTAGGTGTAAATAATTGCTCACAGGCAACATTTCTGGCAACTATACAGGGGTACAGGTAATATACAAGGGTACAGGTACTCCTAGAATCAGATCCTAATAGGTTGGACTTGATGGACTAATGTCTTTATTCAAACTCAAATACTATGTAACTATGTAACTATGTAACATTTCAAATCCACCTGAATGAAGAAGAAGAAGAAAAAAATGAAATGAAAATGTTAAAAAATAAATATTTATGATTCCACCTCACCTGCTTTAGCAGGATTCATGTCGGCATTGTCCAATCTCTTAAATATTTTCAGCAAACAAAAAAAAAAGGTCACATGGTCTCTAGGCACGTGCATTGTGTATATTTCATACCATTAGAGTCTGCTGATAACCTATTGTTTCCTATCAGACAGAAACTGTCCGGTAGACTGAACGTTTTAAAAAGCTGAGAGAAGCCCAGTGGGCTGCCACTTCCTATATGTGAAAATGCTGGTTGCCTGGATGTTTTGCTGACCCTACTGCAGGGGTGGGCCAATCCGGCCCTCCATCTGCACTTTAACTACAAATGCCAACATGTCTCTGGGAGTCATGCCTGCAACTGTCAGTCTTGCATTGCCTCATGGGACTTGTAGTTCCACAACAGCTGGAGGACCCACCCCTGCCCTACTGGATTCAATAATGACCGGGGACAAGTCGGCCATGGTATAGGCAAACCTTATATCTGACACCCCCAGGTGTCATTGCCTGCTCTATCACACATCATGGGAGCTGTAATATACAAATATAGATTTAAACTAGCTGCCAACACCCCCTCCTGCCTCCCACACATCACGATTGGTCAGCGGGGCCGCCCATCACACCAATGGACCAGTCAGGCATCGGCAGTAGGAGGGACAGGGCGCAACCTCCCTCTCATGCTCCAATGTGTAGGGAACCTAAGATGAGAACACCATAAACTAAAGGAGGACAGGACACAGGACATGAATACCAGAGAGCACCCAGAATCAGAACACGTCCTCCAATTCCATTCAGATGTACAATGTTCATGTCTGACCAGAGCGCCTCCGCACCTTCCGCCATCAGCGATTAAGCGGCTCATCCAGGCGAAATCATCAAAGTTATAAAAAAAAGTTTTCCAAAATTTTCTGTAAGTCTCTGAACTCTGCTCACACCACAAGACACAATCCCAGACAATTAACTATTTAATAATGCGCCAGACTGTGCCCGGAATATCTGACTGGCCTCCCCCCGCCCCTGCAACGTGTTCCAGCGCGGCCACCAGACGCCTTCACAGCGAAGCCCAGGGAGACAGCGCAGACGGGAAGAATGAGCCGGATTTGTCTGCCTCTTCCCAAGGTCTGGCCTTTAAAGGATAATAAATGAAATCAGTTGCAGGGCGTGCGTCTCTTCTGACCTGTGTGGGCTGACTCGGCGGCGAACGCCATGTAGGACACACAGTTACCATGGAGACAGCACACGACTAAGTGTAGGAGTCAGGCATTGTAAACACGACGGGGGTAAAGAAAAAAAATCTGTCTCCCCGGCCAAAAAGACACCCTGAATCTGCCGCAGTGTCTGGAGCGTAAAGTCCTACAGAGACAGATAAAATGTATCGATAACGAGACAGAATGAGAGAGAGAGAGAGAGAGAGAGAGAGAGAGAGGGAGATGGAGAGAGAGGGAGAGAGAGAGAGGGAGAGAGAGAGATGGAGAGAGAGGGAGAGATGGAGAGAGAGGGAGAGATGGAGAGAGAGGGAGAGAGAGGGAGAGATGGAGAGAGAGGGAGAGAGAGGGAGAGAGAGAGAGAGAGAATCAAGGAACAGAACAGAGATA